TCCTTGAAATTGGTACCGAGCAAAGTAAAGTTTAGGTGTTACATAAATAGGAAACTAAATGTTGATTAAATTAACACAATCGGAACTCACTGTTGAACTTATATTCTGGAACTCACACCTGAAGCTGACATTGCTGTATGGTATCAACTCAATAAAACATGGTGAAACTATTATTATAAATTCATTTTCCCCCAAGTAACTAGATTATTTCCGTTTTGCACATACGGCGTCTAGCCAGTACTGGACACATACTAATTGACTTTGTAAAATTAAGTGAAATACAAATAAACTTTTACAAACTTTTTTCTTTTTAAGATAGAGTGGGAGGGAGAGAGAGAGAAACATCGATATGAAAGGGACACATCGAGTGGCTGCCTCCCGCATGACCCAACCAGGGCCAGGGACAAACTGCAGCCAAGGTACGTGCCCTTAGCAGGAACCGAACCCGGGTCTCTCTGGACCACAGGCCATCGCTCTAACCACTGAGCCAAACCGGCCAGGGCACAAATAAACTTATAAAATGTGCTTGCTCTGTGTGAACCTGCCTCTTCAGACTCTGTTGGCTGCTATTATAAGTGAATTGCACACTGAGGTTCTTTAGGACTGTGATCAGAATGAAAAGAATGGTGCCTTCAACTACTTTAATCTTAAGAGTATAGAATTTCACATGGCGAATTAACATTAATTAGAAGGGAACAGAGAAATTAGAAAACTATGAATTATAAGACCAGCATCTCTTTTTATAGGGCTGTGAACAATTCAAATTATGGTTGGAGAGCCCTGAGACTGTTAGCACGGAGAAGCCCTCATTTCTTCCAACCAACCAACCAGCAGTTCAAAAGTTTGCCAGAATATCTTGAAAACATGGTAATAAAGCTAGCCAAGGAATTACCAGTAAGTATTGATCATTTTTTCACTTCCTTTAGTCAATGTTATCTTCTTTAAAACTTCTTTATCGTTATTTGAGCAGAGCTGAACTTGAGTTTATGGTGAAAAAAAATACACAAACTCCCATGTTTTATAATGAGAAAAAACACATTTGAGAACACATTTTATAGGAAGTACATAAACAGATAAACTAACTTTAATAATTTTTATTTAAGTATGTTTTTTTTTTTTTTTTTTTTATCCTCACCCGAGGATATTTTTCCATTTTTTGTACAGATAGAGTGGGAGGGAGAGAGAGAGAGAGAAACATCGACGTGAAGGGACACATCGAGTGGCTGCCACCCGCATGACCAACCAGGGCCGGGGACAAACTGCAACCAAAGTACGTGCCCTTAGCGGGAACTGAACCCGGGTCTCTCCGGACCGCAGGCCAATGCTCTAACCGCTGGACCAAACCGGCCAGGGCTAAGTATGTTTTTATTGATTTGTTTTTTAGAGACAGGATGGGAGATAGAAACATCAATGTGAGAGAGAAACATCGATTGGCTGCCTCCTGCATGCTCCCTACTGGGGATCGAGCCCACAACCCAGGCTTGTACCCTGACCAGGAATCGAACAGGGACCTCTCAGTAATCCACTGAGCCACACTGGCCAGGCCTAACTTTAATAATTTTTATACAGCATGTAATCGAAGTCTACAATACTTTGTTTTTGTTGGTGTGTTATATTGTCTTTTATCAAAGACAGAGTAGCAGTAGGCAACTTGGCCTTTCTCCTCTGCTCTTTTCCAGTACTATTTTCTCATTGTATTATTATAATATGCGCATAAAACATAATAAGGATACAGTTGCTCAACCCGTCTTCCCTAGGCCATTGTTACCATATGCTAGGTATTTGGAAATCATTTTAACATCCTTTTAACTGGCTTTGGGGGGGGCAAGGGGAGTTTTCCAACTCCATCTGCTCCTCCAGGTTAACCCTGTCCTATGTGTGATACTTACCTGGCATTCACATTTAACACTCAAGGGTCAAGTTCTGGGCCCTATACTTGGAATGTCACAATTACACTATCTAAAAAACTCCCCAATTATTTTTAGAAGTTGGCATTCTTTTAAACATTCTTCTTACTCATTTTAGCCTCCTTCTGAAGAAATAAAAACAGGTGAGGATGAAGATGAGGAAGATAATGATGCTTTACTGAAGGAAAATGAAAGTAAGAATTGAATTTTCTTGGCTATTTTACAAAATTGGAAAAAATTGTGTTCTTTGTTGAGAGGTACATTATTTAATTTGATCTACTTCTCAACTTCTACCATGTTGAAAGCATTGCTTGAAAATTATTTAAAATATTACATTTTATACAAAAAAGTTTGGACGTGACAGGAAGGACGGTACTTTACATTTGAAGGTTAATTCTTGGTGGGAACAAAGTGGGAACAAGCTGGTTTCAGGGGAAACCATCATCATTATAATAGAGGCAACAGCTTTAAATTTGATTATTGATTTCCTAATGATCATGATCATAAGAACAGTATTCAATCCCTGTGGAAAATATAAAAAGGAATTATTCTACTTTTAAAATAAACCTTAAAAGGAATTAATATCTCATTGGCCCCATATCTTCTGTTGTGTACGTTGAATTGTACATGTCCTTGTACTTTGTACATAATTTATGTTTTCTAGGCCCTGATGTTCGACGAGACAAACCTGTAACAGGGGAACAAATAGAAATATTTGCCAACAAATTGGGTGAACAATGGAAGATTCTGGCTCCCTACTTGGAAATGAAAGACTCTGAAATTAGACAGATTGAATGTGACAGCGAAGACATGAAGATGAGAGCTAAGCAGCTTCTAGTTGCCTGGCAAGATCAAGAGGGAGTACATGCAACGCCTGAAAATCTGATTAATGCACTGAATAAGTCTGGATTAAGTGACCTTGCAGAAAGTCTAACTAATGACAATGAGACAAATAGTTAGCTTATTTTTTTTTTTTTATTAAAACTATGATAAGATTTTGTTACCAAGCAGCATTTGATAAGAGGTCCACTGGTTTTGGTAAACAATAAACATTTTTATAACAGTTGTTGTACAGTTGGCTGGTACTCCAAGTACAGAACACATATTGGCTCTTGATAACTGACCTCAGGGTTTTGGGAGGAGGGAGGAGTATGTTGAGAAAATGGCCAAAGTGATCTCAAGGTCACAACATATTTTTGTTAAATTAAATGTATTCATAATGAAGTCAAATAAGTGACATTTAGGGGTATGGTGTTTCCTAAGATATACTATGCCAAATTAGTTTCTGCATGCCATTAGTTGGTATTCTGAAAATCCCAGAATAAGACTTTCTGAAACCATATGACTGCTCTAGTCTCATTCATGCTTTAAAGCAGAGGATCAGCCAAAAATGGTCCATTTACCACCTGGTTTTATAAGTGAAATTTATCAGCATATAGCCATGCTGATATTTTAGGTATTGTCTATGGATTCTTTCCTGCTACAATGGCAAAGTTTAGTAGTTGCAAAAAAAGATGTTGCGGCCTGCAAAGCTTAAAATATGTACGTAATATCTGGCCCACTACAGAAAATACTTGCCGACCCCCAACTTTAAAAGAAATGGGGTGATGTCTAAAACCTAGTTCTTTTAGCCTTACAAAAATTATTTAACCTCTCAAGTCGCTATAATAAGGATGCATATCTCAGGGATTGCTGTGAAGTTCAAATGAGATGTATGTGAAAGCACTAGATAGTAACAGTTGGAGACAGAATCATCTACTTTTCCTGTTCCCATATAAGCATTAACCTTTAGGGGTCTAAGATTAGGTTAACATTGTTTTGAATCCTGAATAACTACTACTAAATGTATATTACACTAAAACACTCTTGCTTGGACTTAACTTCACTAGTAGCTAGTCCAGCAGTATACAGTTCAGCTCTAATATCAAAAGGGCCTCAGTGCTAGTGGCACAGCATATAAGGCATGCTCAAGAGTCGAGACATTTTCTTGCCTACTCTCAAAGACCTTATATGCAGGGCTGAATTCTAAAATAACCTTATTGGTTTAAAACAACACTGGTATAAGTCCTATTTATTATGCTTAAAATATCTTTGGAATAATGCTTTTTTTGGATCAAATAAAATCAATTTTTTAAAAAATGATGACAAAGAATTATAATTATAAAATTCTAATTCCATACAAGGCTTATATACTTTGTTCTAAACCTACCTCACCTGATCTCTAGAGGCTACAGCATCCTGCAAATCAGAAAAACTAAATTTTAATTGCTAAATTACATCCTCAAAATTGTTCAGGTCAAGTAAGACAGTGAATAAAAAAACTGCAAAGTTACAAGCATCATACCAATATATATAAAAGAAACCACAATTCTTATGGTCTCAGTTTTCCCATTCTGTTCTGCATCCTCCCCCAAAGCAAAGGGAGTAATGATTGCCAATAATTAAAGTAATTAAAGATTAACTGAAGAAGCTATTTACAAATAAGTTTCCCTGAAATACTTGTTTTATATCCCCTAGTGTTCTTAGATTATATCACATTGTTCGAACTCAAGAATGGCCATTATTCTCTGGGAATCTACTAATTATCAGTGCTGGGTTCTGCAGAGCATTAAAACAAGCATAAGCAAAGATGAGATTTCACAATAATCCCCAAAACTCAATTATAAATACCCAACTCAAAATCAGAGACAAATTAGATAATATTCTATCCTTTCTCTAACAATCAAGGCTCCTAAAACAAAGATAAGGAACTAATTAGAATTTATTAAGCCCACCATATTGAAATACCTCATATTCTTGGTATTTCTACCACCATTTTATATTAAACTGAAGTAGACATTAAGATTTTGGTTACTGATAGGAGTGTAAAAACTGAGCTGAACAGATCTGGCTGATAACATCACTGCATTCTGCATCCAAAGAATTCCATTGCTCTTACAACCCTGTATTTTTTTTTAAACAATATAATGCTAGCAAGAAAAGAAGGTAACATTTTTAAATGGATGCTTAACAGCAGAGTAAAACTAACCATCAGGATTAACTTCGGCCAACTCAACAGACAACAGACTTGAGGTCAAAAATTGTTAATCCCTCTTTTTTTTTTTTATTAAATATCCCCATTTTCTAAAAATAAGCAACCAGAGCCTGCCAACATCTTTTTAAGGTTGATTACTACAAAACCATTGCAAAGTTAAATGTACAAACCATAGTACATCAGAGACACAGTAATAAATGTATAATCAAATGTACTATTGATCACAATTTATTTTAAAGTCATGAAAAGCCAGCAACAATTAGGCTGGACAAATACTTGATTGTATCCATGTTTCCATGGAATATGGACAGCAGCACTGAGCACATGAGAGCAACACTTACTTCCTTTCCATCTTCCTGGCAAAATTTGTTAGATAAGGCAAAGGACGGACAGCTACTAAATTGCCTGTGGTTTGAACCATGCAAGAACAACAAATAACAGGTAATAGGTGTGCAATAAACATTTCATTGCTGAATCTTGAGCTGAGACGGGCAGGGAAAATTATCACATAAGATAATGGCTGAAAGGCATTTCAACTCAGAATTTTAAAAAATTAATGCAAGAAATAAGCTTTTTAAAAATGTCTTCCTGCCACCTTTATACAGGGCAGCACAGTCCAAAGGCAATTTTCTCTTCCTTGTAATTTTTTAGATTGATAGAGTGGTTTGCTTCTGCCCTTTGTTCCATATAAGGGGAAACAAAACCTCTTACATATCTTCCTCTCAAACTCTGAATTATAGAAATAATCAACAAATAACATTTATTTCACACCTAAGCATAAATAGCTAGAATGAAGATTACTGTTCACTTTCCTCTTCCATTATTTCAACTCTGCGAGGCCCATAGAGTAAAACATAAGCTATATGCCAGTCTCCACCACCAGAAAGCCGCAAGATATCTTCTGGGGTCACAATGCTGACCTTATCATCATCAAACTTAATCCATTCATCTACAGACAAGAGAAGAAAATGAAATTAAAATCACATGATTTTTTTCAGAGTTCCATCTCAAAAAAGCTACCATATCAACAGTTCTCAAAGCATGATCCAGGGACTACTCAAGTCAAATCCATTTCAAGAGTTCCATTAAGGTTTCAACTACTCTCATAATATTACTAAAGCATTTACTAAAACATTATTAAAGGACTACTAAAGCATTTCCCCCTCATTCTCTCAAGTGTGCTTTGGAATTTTCTAGAGGTTATACAATGTGTGATAAAGCAACAGACAGAAATGCAGAAATAATTAGGAGAATCCAGCTGTCTCCTATTAAGCCAGACATAAAGACTAAAAAAAATATAAATTAATACCATTTCTTGCTAATTTTTTGTTTTGGAAAACATTGTTATTTTTATTTTTAAAATGTTATTTATGTAATGGGTTTATTACAATGGGCTTATTGTCAGTTTTGAATAAGTTAATTTACTTCTCAGTTTTAATTTCTATTACAGTATATAAGAAATATAATCTTCATAAACAAAAGCTCTTTGGAAAAGTCTTCAATAATTAAGAATGTAAAGAGGTTCTGAGACCAAAAAGTTTGAGAACCACTGTATAGTATGTAACAACTGGGGGAAAATAAAAAAGGAATCTTTACCTTGTTTCCTTTTCACCCATGATACATAATGACCTGAAGAACTAGACCTTCCCTGATGTGTTAACACTGCTTGTAAATCATAGTATCCACAATTATTGGAGCCAATATCTAAAGAAAGATATAAATCCAGTAGTATTAGACAAAGAAACAAACATGTGCTTTCTAAAACCAAGTAACAAGCAAGAACAATGTTTTGAAGTTTAGCCTAGAGAAGCATTCCTCTGTTATTAGAATCCAGTAAGATACTACTATCCAATCAAAGTTAAGGCTTCATGAAAAATGTTTTAAGAAGTATGGTATTTTCCAGCTAGTGTGGCTTGGTGGTTGAGTGTCGACCCATGCACCAAGAGGTCGCCGGTTCAATTCCCGGTCAGGACACATGCCCAGGTTATGGGCCTGATCCCCAGTGGGGGGCATGCAGGAAGCAGCCAGTCGATGTTCTCTCTCATCAATGTTTCTATCTCTCTCTCCCTTCGTCTCTCTCTAAAATCAATAAAGGAAAAAAAAGTATGGTATCATTCATAAAAGTATATGCTAAAAAGTGACTTTTACTATATTGAGATAAAGTATACTTCAAGAAACTTGACTTTTTTTTTAAAGCATATCTTTAAAAAAACAGATATATGGCAAGACAGCAATTTTACCTACACACACACACACACACACACACACACACACACACAACACAGACACCCTCAACTGAAATGAAAATTTCACTTACCATCAGCAAAAGAAAAGGGTTCATACTTAATGTCCTTCTGGGGACTACTCTTTTTGTCACTCTGAAGGGAAAAAATGTTTAATTTTAAACTGTGATATCAGAAATCTAAGTAGCATTCCTATAAAAACTTTCATAAGCCAAACTGGAATAAATAAAGTGAAGAGTATCCTCTGCTTTCAAAAAGTTCACATTACACCACTTCACTTTTACAAAAAGCAAAAGATCTACATTCATATGGTAATGGCTTTTTCACAAAAGCAAAATGCTTCAGATTTCTTTCAGTTACCTAATATAGGTAGGCCTTTCATAAAAGCAAAGTGGTGTACGAGAATTTTTGGAAACCAGTGGATACCTGTATTCATTTCCACAAATACTTACTGTCTATAATGCAAAGAATTAAGGCAAAACAAAGACAAACTCTGGACTACCTTACAAATTATTAAAATGATAAAACTATAGTTAACATAAAATTGGAAACCCAAAGGTCCTACATTTTAACAGCATACAATTTTGTATGTATAATAACAGACCCTCTGATTATAGGATCAATGTTAAACCACTAAAGCTAGAGCATACCAGTGAATATAATACAGATAAACAGTGTTCTAGGGTAGGATAACCCAATTCTATATTTTTTTTTACCAAAATACTATCAAACCACATAAATGAAAAAAAGAAAAAGAGCTGCCTCAAAAAAATAAGTTAAATTACTACAAATAATATTAAATCTATTAAGCCATGGGCACCTGCCACTTCGGCCAAAATAAACTGAAATATTTAATTCAGCAAACATTTACCTGTATTAAAAGCAGCATGACTTACTACTTTAGACAAGGATCTTTAGTGGGAACTCCTGCATCAACTCATTTTCATGTGCAACACAAAAAATTTAAACAACTTATCTAGGTATATGGGCACAAAGTTCTTGAAAACTATAATGGTAATCAAGATAATACAAGCAGTTTATAGCTAGAGAAACAAGAAGTCAAACTAATAATACAATAAGGTTTATCATTCCTTTTTATATACAACTGACCCTTGAACAACATGGGTTTGGATAAGAAAGGTCCTTTTATATGCGTTTTTGTTTTCAACTGACCCGCAAAGTTTAAACCCACATTGTTCAGTGTCAACTGGTGGTTGGGAATCTCTATATGCAGAGAACCAACTTAAGTTACACATGCATTTTTTACTATCTGGGTGGTGGACACCGCTAACCTCCACATTGTTCAAGAGTCAACTACATATAATACCTACAGCAACCACAGAAAAAGCTATACAGAGAAATATATTGAAATATACTATACATAAATCAATTTAGAAGTCTAAAAAAATGTTTAAGCCCTGGCCAGGGTGGCACAGTTGGCTGAGCATCGCTCCATGCACGGAAAGGTTACCGGCTCGATTCCTTGTCAGGGCACGTGCCCAGATTGGGGCTCGACCCCTGGTCAGGGGCGTGCGGGAGGCAGCCAACTGATGTTTTGCTCTCACATGGATGTTTCTCTTTCTCTCCCTCTCCCTTTCTCTCTAAAAATAAATTTAAAAATCTTTTTAAAAAGAAAAAGGATAAAAACCTATAAGAAGGCAAAAACAAGAAACAAATTCAGAATATAAAATATATTTAAACACTAACATATCAATTACATTTAATGTAAATGGCCTAAATTCACCAATAAAAAGAAGCTACAGAGTGGATTAAAAGCATGATCCAACTACATTCTATCTATAAGAAACTCTCTTCAGCTCTAGCTGGTTTTGCTCAGCAGTTAGAGCATCAACCCACAAAACGGGGGATCAAGGGTTCGATTCCCAGTCAAGGCCATGTACCTGGGTTGCAGGTTCAATCCTCAGCCCTGGTCTGAAATGTGCACCAATCAATGTGTCTCTTTCACAATGATGTTTCTTTCTCTCTCTCTCTCTCTCTCTCTCTCTCTCCTTCCCTTCCTTCCACTCTATCTAAAAATCAATGGGAAAATATCCTCAGGTGAGGAAAAAAGAAACTCTCTCCAAATATAAAAGTATGGGGAAATTTTAAATCAAAGAATAGAAAGAGGTATGTCATGCAAACATTAACAAAAAGAAAGCAGCAGCAGTGGCAATATTAATCAGATAAAGTAGACCTCAAAACAAAGAAAACTACCAGGGACAGAGAGGAATATTGCCTAACAAAAGATTCACTCTACCAAGAAGACAAAGCAATCCTAAATGTGTATGCTATAGAACATATAAATGTATATACTATAAAAAAAATAACAGAGCTATAAAACATGCAAAGCAAAAGTTGATAGAACTGAATGGGGAAATATACAAATCCACAATTTTAGTTGAAGACTTCATCACTGCTCTCTCAACAACTGATAGAACTAGACAGAAAAACAGCAAAGTTATAGAAAAAAGTAACAGCATTAACCAACTGGGTCTAATCATTTTCTACAGAACACTCAACAACAGAATACACACTCTTTTTAAGTGTCCATGGAATATATTTATATAACAAGATGGATCACATCCTGAAGCATCTAATGCAAACCTCAACAAACTTAAAAATTTCAATAACAAGCTTTCTCTCACTACAATGAAATCAAAGTAGAATCAATAACAGAAGGATAAGAGAATATTTTCCTAACACCTGGAAACTAAACAAAATTCTTCTAAATAATTCAAGATCAAAGAGAAGACTCAAGGGAAATACATGAAACAAATACAGGAAACAGAATGAAAATGAAAGTACAATAAAATGAAATGTGTACAACACAGTGAAAGTACTGCTGAGAGAGAAATTTACACTCCTAAATGTGTATGTTCGAAAATAGTGAAAAGTCTGAAATTAAAACTAAGCTCCCCTACTTTAAGAACCTAGAATAAGAGCAAAATAAACTCAAACAGAAAAAGAAATGAGCTGAAACTCATTAAATTAGACACAGAAAAAAATAATAGAGAAAAACAATGAAACAAAGAGCCAGTTCTCTGAAAGATCAATAAAACTGACAATCCTCTAGCAAGACTGACACAGGAAATTTAAAAAGACACAGATTACCAAATCAGGAATGAAACAGGGGACAGATATCACTATATACCATGAAGACACCAAAATAATAATAAAATTAATCCCACATATAAAATTGATAAGCTAGATAATTTAGATCAAGTCCATAAAAACACAAACTATAAAAAGAGATTACTTGAATAGCCCCTAACTATAAAGAAAATTTAATCTGTAATTCCTGAAAAAGAAATCTCCAGGCCCACATTGTTTCACCACAGTTCTACCAAACATTTGAAGAAAATTAACAATTTTACACAATCTCTTTCAAAAAAGGAAAAGGAAAAAAGAAAAGCTAAAATAGCAAAATAGAAAATATAAGATCAACAATGAATAACCCAAAAATGAAATTAAGAAAGCAGTGCCATCTACAAAAACATCAAAAAGAATAAGATACTTAGGAATAAATCTAACCAAAGACTTCTACAGTAAAAACTATAAAACAGCCCTGACTGGTTTGGCTCAGCAGTTAAGAGTGTGAGCCTGTGGTCCAGAGAGACCCAGGTTCGGTTCCCATTAAGGGCATGTACTTCGGTTGCAGTTTGTCCCCAGCCCTGGTTGGGTCATGTGGGTGGCAGCCACTCGATGTGTCCCTTTCACATCGATGTTTCTCTCTCTCTTCCTCTCTCTCCTTCCCACTCTATCTGAACAAAAAAATGGAGAAATGCCCTTGGGTGAGGATAAAAACAAACAAACAAACAAACAAAAAACTATAAAACACTGTTGAAAAAATTAAAGAAGACCTCAATATATACCATGGATTGCAAGACAATTTACTACTAAAATGGCACGACTCCCCAAACTGATCTACAGATTTAATGCAATCCCTATTAAAATTCCAATTGCTTTTTTAAAGAAATGGACAAGCGGATCATAAAATAAATATAGAACTACAAGGGCCTCAGAAGTGACAAACAATCTTGAACAAAGTCGGAATGCTCATACTTTGCTACAGTCCTTACTACAAATAAAATCTACATTAACCAAGACTGTGGTACTAGCAAAAGGACAGATGTACAGACCAATTCAATAAAACTAAGAATCTGGCCCTGGCTGGTTTGGCTCAGCGGTTGGAGCGTTGGCCTGCAGTCCAGAGAGACACAGGTTCGATTCCTACTAAGGGCACATACCTCAGTTGCGACTTGTCCCCGGCTCAGTTGGGTCTTGTGGGAGGAAGCCACTTGATGTGCCCCTTTCATGTCGATGTTTCTCTCTCTCTACCTCTCTCCTTCCTACTCTGTCTGAACAAAAAATGGAAAAATGTTCTCGGGTGAGGACAAAAAAATAAAACTAAGAATCCAGAAATATACATCTATGATCAACTGACTCTACAAGAGTGCCAAGCCCATTCAATGGGCAAAGTTTTTGAAAACAATCTTCTCAACAAATGGTGCTGGGACAACTGGATATTCACATGTAACAGAATGAATCTGGACCTGTATGTACTTTATCCCATATACAAAAAATTAACCCAGAATGGATCAAAGAACTTAATGGAAGAACTAAAACTATATAAATCTTAGAAGAAACACAGGCATTCTTCTTCATGGCTTTTGACTAGACAATGGTTTCTTAGATATGACACCAAGAGCAAGAAAAGGCAAAGAAGAAGAAAAAATAGACTGAATTATATCAAAATTAAAAACTTTCCCTCTGCAAAATACACTGTTAGGAGGATGAAAAAACAAAGCTACAGGCTGGGAGAAAATATCTGGCAACCACATATCCAACAAAGGACTAGTATCTAAAATATAAAGTACTCTCAAAATTCAAGAGTAAAAAAACAGCACAATTAGAAAATGGGTAGAAGACATGAAGAGATATTTCACCAAAGAGTATATACAGATGGCAGATAAACATATGAAGACATGTTTCACATCATTAGTCATTAGAGAAATGCAAATTAAAACCACAATGAGATATCACTACAAACTGATTCAAGTGGCTAAAATAAAAAAGTGATCCCGCCCTGGCCAGTTTGGCTCAGCGGTTAGAGCGTCCACCTGCGGTCTGGAGAGACCCAGGTTCGGTTCCCGCTAAGGGCATGTACCTCGGTTGCAGTTTGTCCCCGGCCCTGGTTGGTCGTGCGGGTGGCAGCCGCTCGATGTGTCCCTTTCACATCGATGTTTCCCTCTCTCTCTTCCTCTCTCTCCCTCCCACTCTGTCTGTGCAAGAAATGGAAAAATGTCCTCGGATGAAGATTAAAAAAAAAAAAAAGTGATCCCACCAAATTCTGGCAAGAATGCAGAAAAAGGGGATTAGTCATATACTGCTGATGAAAACCTAAAATGGTACAGCCATTATGGAAAACATCTAACAGTTTCTTTAAAAACTAAATACACAACGATCATGCAATCTAGCAATTACATTCCTGGGCATTTATTCCAGTTACATAAAAATTTATCTTTACAGTAAAACTGGAATTATCAATGTTATAGCAAATGTATTCTTAATAGGGTAAATGATTAAGCAAACTGTGGTATATCCGCACGGAGTATTATTCAGTAACAAAAAAGGAGGGAATACTGCTATATAAAATCAACCTGGATTAATCTCCAGAGAATTATGCTGAATGAGAAAAGTTAACCCAAAGGTTACATAATGTATGATTCCATTTATGTAACTTTCTTGAAATGACAAAATTATAGAAATGAAGAACGGGTTAGTGATTGCTAGGAATTAAGGAGAGGGCAGGGGCAAAAAGAAAGTGGGTTTGGCTACAAAGGGGCAGCATGAGGGATCTTTGTGGTGATAGAAATGGACGTAACTAGACTGCTTCAATGTTAGTATCTTGGTTCTGATACTGTATTATAGTTTTGCAAAAATGTTATCACTAGGGGAAACTGGATAAAAGGTAATTATGAAGCTCTCTGTGTTATCTCTTATAACTGCATGTGATACTATAATTATCTCAAATTAAATTTTAAAATATTGCTTTATACACACATACACAAATGGTAATCTGCAGGAGAACTTAAATTTTAATATATTAAAATATCACATTGAAAACTTTTGTTACCAGGAAGTATCTTTTTCATTTTGAAAAAATAAATCCAACATATAATAATTCAGCTGTACTTCATATGTATACTGAAAAATACTAGGCAAGATTTTATGTGAAGTGCTTTGAGGAGATAAATAGAAAAGGAATATAACAGATAATAGAAGAAAAGAAGGTATTAAGCTTATTCTACTATAAAGGACCCTTACCATAACTAGAGTTCTTTTTATTATGCTAAAATACACCTAAAACTGTAAAAGCCTGTACCAATATATGTGGTATCTGCATATGTGTTAAATAAAATACAGGTTCACCCACTTTTACAATAAATTAACAATACAAAGTAATAGTTGAAGTTTGAAGATTAAAATATTGAGATTAATAAGAACCTACTGTCTTTGTCTGTTGATTCACTTTTTTATCTTCTAGATCCTTGAATTTTGACCGAAAAGAGATCATTTTCTCTTGAAGTTCTGGTGTACATAGTTCGTACACATCCAACATAAGAGGAAATTTAACATCCTATATACAAAAAGAAAAAAATGTATTGACATACCAAAGCAGTTATTTAAAATATCTATTACATTTTTAATGTAGTGTTTTTGTAATTCAAATGCAGATGAGAATAAAATCTGTAAAAATTGCTTGGAAATCTATGCAGTTGAAAACATCCTAGTGCTTATTTTCATTCTGGTCCTAACTTCAAGGTAAGAAAATTTTTTAACTTTTTTTTCATTAAACATTTTAACCCATGAAACTGATGACCGAGGAGTTACCAAAATTTATATGACAAAGAAGCATTTTAGAAATATTAGACCAATTGCTGTGGAAATAATGGAAACCTAAAACCAGCAGTGGAGTCAATTTACAAATGGGATCACTTTTGACTGTAATTTGAAATACAATTTCACATAGAAACAATAGTGATATAATTCAATAACTAATATTAACATATGAAGTTAACATTGGGTAGATACTCCAACTATAGTTAACCTTCCAATATAACATAAAGTATATCTGAAAATGTATTATGAATTTCAGGTCAACAGGCTAGAATTATATATAACTTTCCCAAAGATCAGGGACTGGATATATAGCTGAGCTACAGTTCAGATTACAATTTAAGTACTCTTTGGGCACCAATAATTTAATACTCCTTTCACCTGAAAGAAAGGAACCGCTTAGAACAGATTGTAGCATGTTCTAATGCACCCTAAGCCTAATCCCATCCCTAAACCTAAAAAGGATCAGTACCTCTGGACTTGAGAATCTGATCTAGTGTGGTGTTTCTGGGGAATGGGGGTATCCATTAGAATTACTTAGGAATCTTTTTTAAAATATACTACCTCAGGCCCCACCTAATCAGAACCTAGGGGGTAGGAAGAAGCTAGGTGTGTATATGATTTCAAATAAAAAGGACATGAGATAATTCCAATACACATCTTGGTTAAGAACCACTTGTCTAATGTTAATAACTTCCCTATATATACCATTTCAAAAAAAATTTAACTATCCCTAAAGAAATAAAAGAACCTACTGTAAGTCAGGGATTTCCTTTTCAAAGAATAATTTATTATATTGAAAGTTCATTTCTAACCTTAAGAACTTTAGCATTCACAGATTCCTTCTCTTTATAAAAAAATCGAACCATCTGAATAGTCAAGTAAGCAGGTAGCCGGCTGATCTTGGACTGAGAAGAAAAAATAAGAAGAAATCATATTACATGAAAATATCATACAAGATTTTAATTCCTTGGTTCGGTAAAAACAATGACTGGGCAATAATTAACTGGAAAACTTAAAAAAACATAAATTTCAAAAGGAACGCACAACTTACAGATTTTATGTACAAAGCATTTCTTTGCAATGTTGGAGACTGTTTGGTGATTTCTTCCTGAAGTCGCTACAAAAGAACATAATAGAAGATCAAATATTAGTTTAAAAGAAATTTTTATCCACATTATAGTATCACATCTTTAATTCTTTAAGAATTAGCACTTAGACTATGGATTTATACCACTGAGAAATAATCTGAATGAAGACAATGTGAAAAGATTTTTATTTTTAAATATGGTTCAGTTCTTAAAAGGCATCAGAAGGCATCAAAAAATGTATACTGTTGTGAATTCATTGGAATATAAAACTGTATACTGGTGTGAAACAAAGTTGGTTTTTTTTGTTGTTTTTTTTATCCTCACCAGAGGACATTTTTTCATTTTTTGTTTAGGTAGAGTGGGAGGGAGAGAGTGGAACAGAGAGAGAGAGAAACATCAACATGAAAGGGACACATGTAGTGGCTGCCACCCACACGACCAACCAGGGCCGGGGACAAACTGCAACCGAGGCATGTGCCCTTAGCGGGAACCGAACCCGGGTCTCTCGGGACCACAGGTCGACGCTCTAACCGCTGAGCCAAACTGGCCAGGGCCAAAACAAATAATGTTTAAAGTTTCTAAATTATGATTCAAATGTTACTCAGATTCTGAGTCTATACTGCATTTTATATAACATAATAAAGCCTTTTAAGGCATTCCTCTACTTATAATTAGAATATTCATATTAGAGAAAAATTAAAGAGAATGTGAAAATCCTTGTTCTTTAGAACCAATCATTATTAAATTTGAGAAAAATCATAAAGAAACCCTCTGTTAATCTAACCAATGTGAGAAAGCCTTTGCCATTTTTTTTTTAGGTTAATCCTCACCCAAGGATATTTTCCATTGATTGTTTTAGATTGAGTGGAAGGGAGGGAGAAACATCGATGTGAGAGACATACTGATCAGTTGCCTCCGTCACAACCCCAACCAGGGCTGGGGATCGAACCTGCAATCCAGGTACATGTTCTTGACTGGAAACTGACCCTGTGACCCTTCAGTCTGCAGGCTGATGTTCTAACCGCTGAGCCAAACTGGTCAGGGCCATTATACATATCTTAATAATCATATCTGCCTTTCTACTCCTTAGAGCCTATATGACATGGGGTAGTTATCCCCTCTGGGCATTATCTGTAAATGGTAATAATAGTACCTATGTTACAGTGCAGTTAGAATTACATAAATTAGTACACGTGGAAAACTATTTAGCATATATTCTATGTTCTATAAACATTAGCTACTATTTGTAATATCAAAAAATCAGCACTAAAAGGGGAAATAAATGGTGATGGAAGGAAACTTGACTTGGGGTGATGTAGACAGAATGTGATACACAGATGATGTGTTACAGAACTGTACATCTAAAACCTATATAATTTTATTAACCAATGTCACCAAAATAAATTCAAAATAACATAAAAGCAAAAAAAATTAACACTACCAATGTGTTCTGCTTTGAGAATATAAACAGATGAAATCAGAGTTAAAGCAATTTACTGTTAATGTTTACTCTAAGCATATTACACTTGTTTAAATAAATTTTTTAAGTTTGATTTTTTAAAATTACTAATCACAATGAAAAGGAATCACTGTAACTTTTTAACATTTAATCAAGTTTATTCAGCAGCAAAGAGATACAGAAATGTGAAGCCCAATTACTCAAGAATAACAAATTATTAAAATAATCTAATAGATTAAATAATCTAATAATCAGAACAAATGATCTAAAAATTACCGAGATGATAAATACAAAAATCTCATGCATACATATTTTTCAAGAAAGTATCTGTTGCTATGTTATTCATCAGGTAATAAGCTATACCTATTAAAACCAATCCACTATCATCTAGAAGTTCCAAGTATATTTAGTTTTCCTGGAATTTTATAAAATTTTGAAGAAAATACCACCTTGGAGATTCCTTGCCAAACATTCCATTCCACACACTCCAATTATCACTTATACTTCAGGTTTTGAAGCCCTAAAAGTTGCACATTGTAAGTTGTTATAGAACTTTTAATGGTTAGCTATTACTTATAATGCTTTTTATTTTTTTACTTTATATATTTACATATTTTTTTGTTAATCCTCACCTGAGGACATGTCCATTGATTTTTAGAGAGAGTAGAAGGCAGGGAGGGAGGAAGAGACAGAGAGAAACATCAATGTGAGAGAGATACATTGATTGGTTGCCTCTCGCATGTGCCCTGACCAGGCCAGGGATTGAACCTACAACCCAGCTACATGGCCCTTGACCAGGAATTGAACTTGAGACCCTTCAGTGCATGGGCTGGTGCTCTAACCACTGAGATCACCAGTCAGGGCTGTAATGCTTTTATTTAAAAAAAAAAATTTTTTTTAAATCCCCACCCAAGGATACTCTTACATTTACCTTCAGATAGAGTGGGAGAGAAACAGAGAGACAGAAAGAGAAACATCGATGTGAGAGAGACACATCAACTGCACGACCCCGACCATGGCTAGGGACCAAATAGCAACCGAGGTGCATGCCTTTGACCAGAATCAAACCCAAGACTCTGGTCCGTGGGCTGACATTCTAACCACTCACTGAGCCAAACTGAACAGGGTCAGAGCTGTAATGCTTTTAAAATGAGCTTCTCTCAACTCTTCCTCTCAGTATCACAGAACAGAGAATATCACTATTTATCTATCTGCTTCTTAGGTCTAAATTTACCAACCCTTCCCATAACCCATTTTACCCTAAACTACAGATGACAACAAATTATCTTGTTTATAACATAATCCCTGCCCCCATTCACCACCTATCCTTCAAAAAGATGTGCATAATCCCCAAATCATAACAAATTAAGAAGTTGGCAGGCAAACCATTATATTTTATCAAACTGCTAACTATAGTGCATTCTTTTGTATGGCACTGGGCAGAGTACTAACTGAATAATGAGAGAAGAAAGTTCTAGATCTGGCTCTGCCACAAACCAAATGAAATCACTTAAATTCTGGGACCTCAACTGCAGTACTAGTGCAATGGCAGAATGACTATACAGCCTGATCTTCACAGTACAATCCTGGTTTGTATCTCATAATTATAAATATACCCCCGTTAATATAGCCTCAGAGCCCTCCTAGAAGCCTCTGGTCACACTTTTGTCAACCAATCAGTACACCATCTTGTTTTTTATTTTTTAATTCTCACCTGAGAATATTTTTTCCAATGATTTTAGAGAGTGGAAGGAAGGTAGGAAAAGAGGGGGGGAGAAAGAGGGCGGGAGGGAGAGAGAAACACTGATGTGAGAGGGAGACAGACTGGTTGCCTCCTCCCACGTGCCCTAACCAGGGCTGGGGTTGAACCTGCAACCCAGGTACATGCCCTTGACTAAGAATCAAACCCATAACCCTTTGGTGTACAGGCCAACACTCTAATCACTGAGTCACATGGCTAGGGTCACAACCTTGTTTTATGTGTTTCTGTATAATGACACCTTACTTAACACACACTATTGATCATTAACATGGAACTCACATGCAACTACACTAAAACGCATCCTTATATGAAACTTCTTAAGAAACTGAATTTTCTTCTTATGGTATGTCACAGCCCTCTAACACTTAAAACATTAGACAGCACTTTAGGACTGTGCCTGAGGGCCATTTTAAATAGCAAAATCATCAACAAGCACAAAAACACAAAAAATGCAGCACTAGAAAATGACCGCAGCCCTGGCTGGTTTGGCTCAGCGAATAGAGCGTCGGCCTGCGTACCAGAGCATCCTGGGTTCAGTTCCCGCTAAGGGCATGTACCTTGGTTGCAGTTTGTCGCCGGCCCCATAGGTCATGTGGGTGGCAGCCAATAGATGTGTCTCTCACACATGGATGTTTCTCTCTCTCTTCCTCCCTCTCTCCTTCCCGCTCTATCTGAAAATAAATGCAAAAATGTCCTCAGGTGAGGATAAAAAAAAATGACTGCAAAAAGGATACTTGTTTATAGTAGGAGAGCTGAAACAAGAAATCAGAGCATTATCTTTCTGGACCTTAGGTGGTACTGTGTGTGTCAGGTGACTCAAATTTTGCCACACTAAGGATATCTTCAAATGACCATGAAAACACCACAAGTATTGATATTGGGTTACAAATAAATTTTTACAAGTAGGTGCATTCGCAAATATGAAATCCACAAATAATGAAGATCAACTCTAATTATCTTACCAATTTAAGTCCTGTAAAAAGATACTTGACTTCTTGATTGATAAAACAGCTAAGTTGAAGCTGATTTTCCTTTCCTTTAGTGACTTCTTCTTCTTCAGATTCTGTACATTTCATGCTTTGCAAAATAAGTTAAGGAATATGCTAATGGGCATTCAATTTATTACATTATCTTGAATTAGCTATCCTAATGCTACTAAAATTAATAGTATCATTCATTAATATTTAAAACATTTTGGTATCCCAACAGAGATTTATTTCAACATATTTTAAAATGCTCATTTGCTTACCAATACTGTGAATGAATGTATGATAAGGATAAATATTAAACAAATATGTTGCATTTATATAGTCTTAAAATGGCCTTAATAACCAAAAGCCACATAAAGAGAAATCTTTTCTAGTTTCTACCCATCACCTAGAAAGTACTTCCCTAAATTCATGTTTTAAGAATTAATTCAATCTCATGAATATAACTGATACATTCCATTTCATACAATTAAAAATTAATTCTCTTTGAAGCAAATCAATGAAGTAGACTCTTAAAGATATTCATAAGAAAAATAATGAATATCTTTAAAGTGTACACTTATCTAAACTTCAAGATCACTCCAATGGGTATATTTTTCCAAATTTCTAATTTCCCTGATATTTTTTGGACAGAAGAACCTCTGAAGAATTTTCCTTCATACTCCACCCTACCACACTAATCAGCAATTCACTTTATACACTTCTAATAAGTTATGAGTAGTTTATACATATCTTGGCTTATAAGGATACGTAGTTTCAAACTCAACTCCAAAGAATTGATCAATTAAACTTTTCTTTTTAGAAGGTGTCACTGCTGATGCAGATGAAGAGTCTGTCTGCAAAAATTAAAATGAAATAAAAATTCCAATTTTACTTTATGTAGTTATTAATGTACATTTCCTCCCACACAATGTAGTTTAGTAATACATATTTAAGTGTTTTAAAATATAATCCCTTTCTGCAAAATCTTTCTACTGCTCAAATAACTATAGATGCTCAATAGTACCTATTAATTATGTTTAATAAAAATACATTGAATTCAAGTGTCAAATGCAAGCTTTCAAGTATTCAAGTACATGTCTACCTTATTAAGATGAATTTATTTCAAGCTTTTGAAGTGGGGATGAATCAAGGTATAATGAAAATCTGTAATTAAAATATGTTTCAATTACCTCTTTAACAGAATCATCTTCTATGGCTTCTAATTTCTGTTGCAATACTCGCATCATTTGTATCCAACATTCATTAGCATCCTGTAATTTTAAAAATGACACCGTAAATAATCCTGGCTATGACAGTGTTTGGCATATAGAATCCTTCCAAAATAATTAGTTTCCTTAGAGAAAAAGAAAGCTTTTTTTTTTTCTTTAAAAATATTAAGCCAAAGTCGATATTTTCTGATCTTCAAAACAACGAAAAATTCCAAAATAGTTTTTTCATTCATTCAAGAGATGTTTACTTGTGCTCCTGATTAGGCTAAACACTGTTTTGGACACTAGAAATACATAGCAAAAAAAAAAAACCCAGAAAAAGTCCAAATGGGAAACATAGATAAACAAAATATTACATAAATTCAAGTTAAGAGAAGGGCTATAAAGAAGAAAAAAAGGTAGTATGGGAGCAAAAAGTGATTGGGGCAAAGAAAGTGTGCTATTTCAATAGGGCAGTTAAGGAAAGCCTCTCTAGAAAAACCTCTCTAAGAAAGCCTCTCTGATGTCTTGATACTTGAGCCATGAGACCTAAAGATAAGGAGGCAAGCCATGCACTGAGAGCCAAAGGAACATGAGCACAGGCCCTTGCAGAACAAGAATACTTTGGAGGGTTTAAAAAATAGCAAGGAAGCCAGTATCCGGAGAGAAATGAGAAAGGAGGACAGTGGTACATGATGCATTCAGAAAGGTAGCCAGAGGCTAGATTATTTAGGATTTAGAAATTTAGGGATAGAAAATCACCAGGAAGTACTGAACAACATAATCTTATTTACATTTTAAAAGGACTCTCAGGGGCTATATGGAGAAACTGCAAAGAAACAAAAACAGAGCAAGATGATTAGTTAACAGACTACTGCACCACTCCATGAACTAGGGAGGACTGATAATTGTTTTTCCAAATATAATCCAGTAAGTGTGGTAAGTACAGGAAACCTAAAATTTATATTTACAAAATGAAAACCAAGCTCCTTGCCCTGATTACCTGTTGAAGATACTGTCCTTGTTCGCCCTTTTCTGCAAACTGTGGAAAAGCCATGTGCAAAAACTGCAGTAGAATAATAGGTGGAATACTAGAAGAAGTTTTATCCATGGACTCAAACAAATCTCTCAGGGCTTAAAAACAAAGCAAATAATACCTTAGTAAAAGAGTGGCATATTTAATACAATTACTATAAACAAAAAACTGTTAATAACTGTTTTTATATATAACTACTCCTTTAGCAATTGTTGGATTCCTAATAAGAAGCTTTGTTTTTAAATCTTAAGGATGTCAACAGAATTTATAATGCAATTGGGAGCTATAAACAACTTCTGGGCCCTGTCCCTCTCTTTCCTTGCCAGCTGCTGTTTTCCCAAAGCAGGGTATATCTTCATTCAATACAAAGAACATATAACTTCTGTCTAGAGATCAATCAGGTATAATGTTGTTCTGCCGCTATGCCATTATCAGGTCATCAGGTCTCCACACTCCTAATCCATTATCCTTTACTTGATTCCCGTCTACTGAACTCCTGAATATTGAAATCTGGCTCTTTAAACATACTTCCTGATTCTACTGAACAGCTAAAAACCAAAACTAATTTGCCTTCTTCAAAATCTTTCCTGTTTATCCCTTCTCAAAAATCCCATGATCATGGACTCAGCCCTGGCCTCTGGAGATCACAATACTTTTCCTTTGCTGATTTTCTAGCTATCACACAATGTCCTTATATCATGTACAACAAATATAATATATCAGTGTTAAACACCCAGATTTTGAAAACTATCCTATGGTTATGAATGTCTTTATTCCTGGGAAATACGTACTAAAGTATTCAGCAATAAAAGACATGATATATGCAACTTACCCTAAAATGGTTCCGAAAAAAGAATATGCATTATAGAGAATGATGAACCAGATGTGACAAAAAATTAGTAACTGGTGAATTCTTAATACTTTTCTGTAAATTTAAATTTTGGTGATGGTTGCACAACTCTGTGATTATACTTAAGAACAATGAATTGTACACCTTAAACGGGTAACTTGTATGATATATGAATATCTCAATAGAGCTATTACCAAAAAAAAAAAAGATGCCTATAAAAACCCTATCAACCTAGCCCAATGATTTAAGAGAGTAATCATCTGGCCATGGCTAGTGTGGCTCAGTTGGCTGAACGTTGTCCCATGCATGAAAACGTCACAGGTTAGATTCCCAGTGAGGGAATATTCCCAAGTTGTGGGTTTGATCTCCAATAGGAAGTGTGCAGGAGACAGCTGACAGATGTTTCTCTCTCATATCAATATTTCTCTCTTTCTCTTTTTCTTCCTTCCTCTCTAAAATCAATCAATAAATAAATAACAGGGTACCCATTTTGTCAAAATGTCCCAAAACGAGACGGGGATACAGTGTCTCATATAATAAAGAAATAAGTTGTTTCTACCCTTTAAGAATGTCTGTCTCGCCCTGGCCGGTTTGGCTCAGCAGTTAGAGCGTTGGCCTGCGGTCCAGAGAGACCCGGGTTCGGTTCCCGCTAAGGGCATGTACCTCGGTAGCAGTTTGTCCCGGGCCCTGGTTGGGTCATGTGGTTGGCAGCCACTCGATGTGTACCTTTCACATTGATGTTTCTCTCTCTTTCTCCCTCCCACTCTATCTGAACAAAAAAATTAAAAATGTCCTCGGGTGAAGAAAAAAAAAATGTCTGTTTCCTCATTCCTCATACACCACTTCTTACACTAATACCCACCAAGACTCTCTTTTATAATGATCACATGAACTATAACAAAACCTATCTCTGGATATCCCTAAAGATATGTATTTTACTTATACAACTTAAAGCCAAAATTATAATTTAATCCAAAGACTGTTTTTCAAAAAGAACTCACATCACTGGTTTATAATTTGGATAATAAATAATTACCAAGATGTTTACAGTAAGTTGTCCATTTTAACAAGGTGATGTTTTGCAAAACACATTTTGTAAATTAACAGCTATCAAACTGTAAGTGAAAAATAACATTTATTGAATACTAAACTCTCTCTTGAAAGTATATATTTCTAAGATACTGACCTGCAGTAATATATTGTGCTGAAGCCATTTCCCCTGAAGCTCTCAAGGCACCAGCATACCTAGGGGACATTAAGGCAGAATTAAATAATAGGATTCGATTCAAATGAGAAGAAATCGGTTAAAAGGTCTTATTATGACACCCTTAACGGCGAGTTTCTCAGAGTTGCTCCCACCTATTTTCGTCTCGTCTGCTCTTGTTCCTTTAAGCATTATATGGGCAAAAAAGGAAGCTAAGAATAAAGGGAATTTAAATGAATAAAACCAGCCCTGGCCAGTTTGGCTCAGCGGTTAGAGCGTCGGCCTGCGGTCCGGAGAGACCCGTGTTCGGTTCCCGCTAAGGGCATGTACTTCGGTTGCGGTTTGTCCCCGGCCCTGGTTGGTCGTGCGGGTGGCAGCCACTCGATGTGTTCCTTTCACATCAATGTTTCTCTCTCTCTCTCCCTTCTTCTCTCCCTCCCACTCTATCTGTACAAAAAATAGAAAAATATCCTCGGGTGAGGATAAAAAATAAATAAATAAATAAATAAATAAATAAATAAATAAATAAATAAAACCATTTTTAAAATAATTTATTAATTTTTTAATTATATAAGTCCCTCCTTTTTCACCCTTTGAACTCCACCCCCTTCACCCCCACCTTCACCATACTATTGTCTGTGTCCACTGGTTATGCATATATGCATATAGTTCTTTGGTTTATCTCTTCCCACCCCGCTACTCCCCTTCCCTCTGAGGATTGTCAGTTTGTTCCCTACTTTCCTGTTTCTGGATCTATTTTGTTCATCACCTTATTTTGTTGAAGCAAGCCACCGTAAATTATTTCCCCTTGTCTAATTCATCTATATCAAAAATTTATTGAAAACTGTGTAGCCCTGGCCGATTTGGCTCAGTGGTTAGAGCGTCGGCCTGCGGTACAGAGAGACCCGGGTTCGGTTCCCGCTAAGGGCATGTACCTCGGTTGCAGTTTGTCCCCGGCCCTGGTTGGTCGTGCGGGTGGCAGCCACTCGATGTGTCCCTTCACATCGATGTTTCTCTCTCTCTCTCTTCCTCTCTCTCCCTCCCGCTCTATCTGAACAAAAAATGGAAAAATGTCCTCGGGTGAGGATTAAAAAAAAAAGGAAACTGTGTAAAAGAAAAGTACAGATTAACTGTCCATTATTACAAAGAAAATAAAAATATAATACAACTTGAAAAATCAAGAAAAAAGGAATTAAATCAAAATAAACTCACCAACATTCAACACTAACTAGCCATTAACAGTAAACAAGTCACTTAAATTTCAAGTCAGTTTGTTCACCTATAAAATGAGGAGTTTCTATTAAATGATTTCTAAATGCACTTTCACTGCTCTTATTCTCAGTTAACATAGTGCAAAGGACTGGCATTCCAAAGGAAATGTACAAATCACAGTATTTACTAATACAATGCCCTATGACAAAAGATCAAGAATTACCATTCAGTAATATTCAAACATTAGAGGTAGGAGAGAGATTGCATATTAACTATGATCAAAACTATGCTTACATACTACATACCGACTAAAATGAAAGTGATATATCATACAAGATTGGCAAGAATGTGGAGCAACCAGAACTACTTATATATTCAATAACATGAATTAATCTCAAAAACTATACCAAGTGAACTAAGCCAAACCAAAAAAAAAAAAAAGAAGTACATTCTGTACTTACAAATTTCAGAATGCACAAACCTAATAGGAGATCAGTAGCATCTTGGGGGATTTGGACATTGAGAGGGGAATGAGGAAATGTTCTATAATTTGACTGTAAAATAGGTTACAGAGAATTTGAGTTTGTCAAAACTGATCACACTGAACACTTAAGATACATGCCTATCACTAGATGTTGATTATATATTAAAAAAAAAACAAAAAAACTCTGTGCTTTTGTAAATAGAATGAAAGGTCATAAACAATATTGCTAAATTATATTCAACTGGAGTTTTTTCTTTTTTTCATTTATTCAGATCTGTTGAAAACTGCTGCAACTAAAAAAAAAAATTTTCAATACACAATAATTCATTATGTCTAACTTATATATGTTCATTTAAAAAATGAGTATCGAGATTCCAAAATGGTGGCAGAGTGAATGGAAGCTACACAGACCGTCTCCCAGGACCAAAACTGGAATTACAACTAAAACACAGACAAATTGACGGGAAAAGGGAACAGAAAAGCAGCTTGCGAGGACCATATAACCAGGGACACTGACTCAATCCTGCTAGGATTGAAAAGGCTGGAGAAGGGGGCTGGGAGCCCACGGTCCACAGCTCGCCTTAGTTGTGAGCAGTGCCCTCGGGATAAACTCCCAAGCTGCGCCCTCGGGTTAAACTCCCAAGCAACTCTGTGCTGTGGAGCCTGGACAGAGGCTAAAATAGGCACAGCCACTCACCTTGGGATCGGCAGAGGGAGGGCAGACTAGACTGGAACTGTGTGGGGAACTCGGGATTTGGAGGGCACTCAGAACTGTGGCTGAATTGCAGCCACACAGGACAGTGGCCATATTGTGCCTTCCCAGGGCTCTGGGGAGAGGCAGCAGCCCCTCCCTCGGAGATTCAACCCCACCCTGTGGGGCACTGAAATGCAAATTGAGGCTTACTAACTACCAGCATCTGCCCCACCCTCAGGAAATCCTCTTACTCAGAGCACCAGAGGGAATTTTTCAATCAACTAACAAACCAAAACTCTTCAAAAAACCTGGACTGCTAGCCTCCAGGCAAAACGGTAGAGGATAACAGTACCATTCCTGGGCTAACAACTCTAATCAGGAAAGTGAGACTTGACAGTGGTGTTTAACGTGGGGCCTCCCTCACTCATCTAAAAACAGGAGAGGGAGCCACAAACAGCAGACCAACAATACCCACAGGGAAAACTTGCAAGGCTCCAAAGCCCACTGTGATAGCCAAAATGGTGAAACACAGAAACAAAAACCAAATGAAAGAACAAGAGACCTCCACCAAATAATATCAATGTGGAACAGTTAGGCAAGTTAACAGAGCTAGAATTAAGAGCCATGACCTTGAGGAAGCTCAACAACATGGGTAAGGACATAGAGATGCTGAAAATAAACCAATTGGAAATTAAAAACCAACAAGAAGAGATCAAGAGTGACATATCAGAAATAAAGAAAACATTGGAAGGTCTAAAGAGCAGAGTAGAGGAAGCAGAGGACAGGATTAGTGAATTAGAAGACAGGGTAGAAAATATCAACCAATCAGAAAACCAAAAGGAAAAAAGATTAAAAAACAAAAAGACAACAGAACTGTGGGACAACTGCAAACGTAATAATATTCGCATTATAGGAGTCCCCAAAGAAGAAGAAAATGAGCAAGGGTTAGAGAATATATTCAAAGAAATAGTGACAGAAAACTTCTCTAATTTGGTGAAGGAAGAAGGCATTCAAATTCAAGCACAGAGAGACCCAAGAAAGAAAAACCCAAACAAGCCCACACCAAGACACATAGTAATTAAAATGCCTAAAATTAAAGACAAAGAGAGAATTCTAAAAGCAGCGAGAGATAAGCAACAGGTTACCTACAAAGGAAACCCCATAAGGCTCTCAGCTGACTTCTCACAAGAAACACTACAGGCCACAAGGGAATGGCATGAAGTAAACAAGGACATGAAAATCAAGAATCTGAATCCAAGACTGCTCTACACAGCAAGGCTGACATTCAAAATACAAGGTCAAATAAAGAGCTTCCCAGACAAAAAAAGGCTAAGGGAATATATTAGCACCAAACCAGCACTACAAGAAATGTTAAAAGGATGGTGTAATTAGAAGAAATAGAAAGAAAAATATAAACAAACTAAACAAAAATGGCAATAAATAAGTACATATCAATAATCACCTGAAATGTAAATGGATTGAATGCTCCAATAAAAAGACACAGAGTAGCTGATTCGATAAGAAAGCATGACTCGCCCTGGCCGGTTTGGCTCAGCGGTTAGAGCATCCGCCTGCGGTCCGGAGAGACCCGGGTTCGGTTCCCGCTAAGGGCATGTACCTCGGTTGCAGTTTGTCCCCGGCCCTGGTTGGTCGTGCGGGTGGCAGCCACTCGATGTGTCCCTTTCACATCGATGTTTCCCTCTCTCTCTCTTCCTCTCTCTCCCTCCCACTCTGTCTGTGCAAAAAATGGAAAAATGTCCTCGGATGAGGATTTAAAAAAAAAAAAAAAAAAAAAAGAAAGCATGACTCATCTATATGTTGTTTACAAGAGATCCACCTCACAACAAAAGACTCACATAAGTTGAAAGTGAAGGGATGGAAAAAAATTTTCCAAGCAAAGGAAAAGAAAAAAAAAAGCTGGGGTAGCAATACTCATATCTGATAAAATAGATTTCAAATGAAGATCATAACCAGAGACAAAGAAGGCCACTACATAATATTGAAAAGATCTATCCAACAGAAAGATATAACCTTGATAAACAAATATGCACCCAATATAGGAGCACCAAAATATATTAAAAATCTTCCGGAGGACTTCAAAGAAGAAATCGACAACAATACAATCATAGCAGGGGACTTCAACACCCCGTTGACACCACTGAATAGATCCTCTACACAAAAAATTAGCAAGGAAACAGAGACTCTAAATGAACCACTAGACCAAATGGATTTAATAGATATCTACAGAGAATTACATCCCAAAACTGCAGAATTCACATTCTTCTCAAGTGCACATGGGACATTCCCAAAGATAGACCACATGATAGGACACAAACTAAATCTGGACAAGTTCAGGAAGATTGAAATCATATAAAGCATCTTCTCAGATCACAATGGCATGACACTAGAAATCAATTGCAACAAAAACATGCAGACATTTAAACACATGGGGCTAAATAGCATGTTATTAAACAATGAATGGGTTACCGAGGAAATCAAGGAAGAACTTAAAAACTTCCTGGAAACCAATGAAAATGAACACACAACAACACAAAATCTATGGGATATAGCAAAAGCAGTTCTGAGAGGGAAGTTCATAGCACTACAGGCCTACCTCAAGAAACAAGAAAAATTTCTAATTGACTGTCTAA